CCCATCCCATCCCATCCCATCCCATTCCTATTCCTATTCCTATTCCTATCCTATCCTATCCCATTCCCATTCCATTGCTATGTAAATAAACCAATCAATCCATGCTTTGCTCGTAGGCTCAGCAGGAGAAAGTCGACCGGATCGAAGAGAACGTCTGCACTGCCGTCGCGAACGTGGAAGAGGGGACCCGAAGCTTATCCAAGGTGGGCCTTGAACCAGCTGCTCTCGGCTTGCGAGCCAGGGTGGGGTGGGGGGAGGACTCCGTTACCCACCCTCCACAGTCGAGAGGCTGGGGTTGTCCGGTGATGAGACCCCTGCCCTTCGAATGACTCTCTCTCTCTCTCTCTCTCTCTGCCCCTCTCTTTTCCTAGGCTGCTACCTACAAACTGGCCGCACTTCCGGTGGCCGGCGCCATCCTGGGGGGCATCGTGGGGGGGCCGATCGGGCTCCTGGCAGGCTTTAAGGTGGCCGGGCTGGCGGCCGCTTTGGGCGGCGGCGTGCTGGGCTTCACGGGCGGGAAACTCATTCAGAGGAAGAAGCAGAAGATGATCAAGGATCTGTCGTCCTCCAGCTGCCCGGACGTGCCTGAGCAGAGCGGCCAAGGGGGCAGCTGAGGACTTCCCCAGCCCGGCATCACGGACTGCTCACCTGGACAGGTGGTCTCCTCCTCTTCCTCCTCCTCCCCTGCTGGAAATGTTTCCTGTTGTTTGAGAATGTGAAAGGGGACAAAATTGACCCTGAGGGGGGAAAAAATCAACCTTCTGACTCACGCCGGGGGAAGGCAAAGCGTGGTCACGCTCTGGCGCACCTCACCTGCACCGTGTGCAAGGTGGAAAAGTGCGCGCCGAAGGGAGGCCTCCACCTGGTTTGCCTTCCTCCTTCAGGGAGTGTTATCAGTGTTCACCAAATGCCTTTTTCCAGGTTTAAAAAAACGGAAAGGAATGCCCAGAGGTAGCCTTTGGTTTTAAAGCCTCTGGATACTTCCGTTTTCTTCTCACAATGGTTACACACCTGTCGGTTTTAGCGGCTCTCTGGCTTCTCAGAATCGGTTTGCAGTGGCAGATTTGGGTTCGTGGCAGGACAGGCCTGCTGGGGTCAGGTAGAAGGGTCAGGTGGAAGAGGTGATGAGAGGTCTCGCCTTGGGAGGGGAAAAGTGGGGGAGGGGGCTTGGTTTGCAAATTTTAATTCTTTTTTTTTCCAGACTGGAAAGTTGGCTTCTACCTCTCGTTTTCAAGTGCCACGGTCAGGAAAAGCCAGAACAGGCTATTTGGGGGCAATTCTCTGCTTGTGGCTTGTCAGGTGTCTGGAACGGTGTTTCCGTGGTAACTTTCAGATGAGTGGACTTCAACTCCCAGAATTCCCCGGTCAGCAAGGAATTCTGGGAGTTGAAGTCCACTCATCTGAAAGTTGTCCAGTTGATTGGAGAATGCTGGGAGTTGAA